TAGCTGAGCATGATGGGATGTCTTTTCATTGTATCCCCCTCCTCCCCCCCCCCCCCCCCCCCCCCATTTCAAAGATGGTGGTATCCGCAAAACGGCTTATAGGGAAGATTTTTTTCTTTTTCAAACTGTTCATTATTTAACTTTTTTTTGACTAAATATGAATATAAAAACAACTTAGTTGGAAATTTGCCCACAAAAATATCCAGGATGGTTGGGTTTAATACCATGAACATATTTTTGGTTTGGCCTTTGTTCTTGCCAGCATCAAGGCTTTAAGCTAAGATTACAAATTCTACAAAATTGCCTTCGGAAAGGATTTATTGATATGGAACTGATAAATGTATTTTCGACAAGTTACATGTTGTACTACAATATCACAGTTTTATAGGAAACCCAGGAAGTACATTTGCTTGAAGCAGGCAGCTTTAAAAGAAACGCTGCAGGACTTGGGCTTTGACAGTAAATAAGTCTGCCAATCTGAGTTATGGAATTATGGATTCCTTGCTCATGAATTTGTACTAAGGTATCTTGTGGCAACGCTAAGGTGTTAAATATCAGTCCAGGTTTTGTGCAATTATCTGAATATATATGCACACACCCGGGTTGGAAAATGTCATTGCATTTTGAGTAGATTTATTTTTTCTCCTCAAATGTGTGGAACGACCTCCGATGAGAAAATTATGAATTCAGCTTCCCCCAATTACAAAAATAATTTGTATACCTTCATACCGGTATGTGTTAAAACTTAACATCGCTAAATGTGAACTTCAGATTAGAGAATTTGGAGAATATGATGGCACAGGTACGAACAGCAGTATAGACTTGGGGGGGGGGGGGGGTTCTGGAGGGCACTTCCCCCCCCCCCTAATTTTCCGTGCCCCCCCAGGTGCCCCCCCCCCCACACCAAAATACTGCTAATGCCCCTTTTCCTTCCCCTAAAGAAGGTTTTTGTAAGTTGTATTTTTAGCCAAAAGCTTACCGTTTATACAATTTCTTATGTCAATGGATATAGCGAGGCATTATGGGGCCCAACTGGGAAAAACTAAAATAAAACGTTTGCGATATGCGCCCCCCATGATATTCTCATGCAAACAGTCGTGTTATGTCTGTCTTGGCCTCTGGTTTCAAATGATTTCATTTCAATTTCAACACTGAATGCATACCATGGCCCTTTATACTGGCAACAAATTACACACATTTTTAATAGAAGTTTGAGCTAACCAACCCCATGTGCATGTCTTCAGTGAGGTACAGTGTAGTAATAAGGTACATAATTTGTAAATGTGCTTCAATAACTTATAGGCCACGGGCCAAAATCTGTATCAGGTCTAGAAGTTGAGGTTCGTCTTAACTTTTTGGTGTCAGCTTGCAATAAGGTCAACTTTACTAATTCGATAGTGCTGAATCTGAATCTGGCTGTTCACATTGGCCAAAATTGCACATTAAAGTTATGATGACATTTTTTCCTCATTATTTTGCCCATTTTTGGTCAAAAACAGTATTTTTGCCATAACTTTTATGTTTTAAATTTAAATGCTTTCAAATTTGACACAACAGATGAATAGGAAGTCGGCATGAATAATATACGTCATTATTGAACACTCCACACGGTGCTTAAAGGTTTTTTGGTGTAGAATCAATCCTTCAAACATGAGCATGATGAGATTTCGACGTGGCGATATAAGGATTTATATTAAATTTAAGTACATCTGTTGTCCCTTTACAACACAAATCAATCACAAGTAAATCACAAGTCATTCAGTTTCAAGTAAATAAGTGAAACACTATTATTTTCTCCATTTCTTTACCCAAAATACATGTTTTTGGGGGTGTAAAACTGGGCTTCTGGAACAGGCATCGCGCAGTCTTGAAAAAAATGTGTACGTTACTTGGCGTGTAGGAGATATGGGGGCGCGCACACTTCGAAGTACGCACGCAGTACGCTCTGTTTTAGCCAGTCAGTGTCGCCGCTTACATATTCCCCACGGCCAGGGGTTGATGGAGAAACGCACGCGCGCCCATGGAGGCGAGGCTGGTATGCCATGGCAGCGATGCATCGCGATCCCCCTCATGTGGTACAGTTACATTGGGAAACAGTCCCCTTGTATTTTTTAATTTGTGCCAACGATGTGATGTGCACATTGTAAAATATCAATTAACATGTTCCAAACTACTTATAACATGTATAACCGAGAAATTAAGTTGCCACTAAAAAGATAAGACAAAACTGCACGTTACAGGCTTTGGCCCACAGCCTAACAGTCATTAGTCATGTTCAACTGTATGTATGTGTACATTCAAATAAGTATATTTGCTCTGAAATGCGGCACACCACACAACAGTACCGGTACATTTGTACATGATGCGTGTTTTAATGACACCAGGCGTCAACCTAATCGATATCACATGTCTTGTCTGCAAAACACTCAATGCACACAACTGCGTCACCAAAATGCAAACAGTGGATCTCACGGCAAAGTTGGATGATGTATTTGTTGTGCATCATCCATTTGGCAATTTGTGGGCAACTACAAGTACATGTTTACAACGGAGACAAAAATGCCAATGCAACCAGGCAGCTACTACGAACCAGCAATGACATTGACGCTTAAGTGCAAATATTTTCAAGTGCGGGTCACTTTCCATTATCGCCTGGGGCTGAAAGTTGTCTCTTCAAACATTGTCAAAAATGGGAGGAAAAACCAGCTCTGACGTATTATACTGTTGTGTATGCACTTCACTTATCAGCCAATTGTCAATAAAATCTGAGATAACATGTGCCCTTTATGTAGCTCAGTAAAAGTAATCACTACTCTGAAATGAATTTCCTAATTTTACAAAGGTATTTTGCTCCTAGTCGGTTTCTCTCTTTCAAGCGTGCTGTTGACCTAACACCATATGAAAACAAACAATCTGGCAAAGGCATTATGAAGCCTGTTACTGGATAACCAAGCAGCATTTCTGTTCACTTGAGCCGATGAAATAAAATCTTCAAAAACAGGGTTTTTTAATGTAAAAATTCACTATCATCACAATACAATCAAAGATTAATCTTTTATTAAACATGATAAAAGTCATGAATTGCATGCGAACTGAAAATGCACAAACTTTTCTGTCAAACATTTTGACCACAAGTCAAAATATTATGATTTGAAGTGGCACATTTTGAAGATTTCATCAGCATTTTTACAGGAATTGATGGAATAAATATTTCTAACCACATTCCTCGAATTGTATAAGTTTGACGCAGCAACTAATCCAACATGTAATCATGGAGCGTTTTATAGCACCACGATGTAATATAATCTTCTCAGTCAAAACATATTGAACACACGTTACATAGCAAACTTTTGAAGTGAGTGGACAAGGCAAGGTGAAAATACACAGAAAATCCTACTAAACTCAGGCCCCCAAAAAAGTCTCCAGTTTCGGGTATGGAGCTTGCGCCAAAAGTGGTGCCTCAATGCGGTTTTTTTTATTTACCCTACTTCTTTTTTTTTCTCAAATGTCAGCTGATGTTGCAGATGACGCTTCGTTACCCCTAAAAACCCTCAAAACTATCCTTCAGAGTGCAGCTTGAGGTGACCTCGGTTAGGCCATAAGGCCTGACAAGTCCGCACCCACTTACAATCGCGATCAACGCGAACATTCTTCGGGAAATTGGATAGTCAAGAAAAAAATCAGGGAAAACAGTAATGTCAGACCATACAGCGACATCAACATCGCTTCGTTACCCCTAAAAACTCTCAAAAGTATCCTTCAGAGTGCAGCTTGAGGTGACCTCAGTTAGGCCATAAGGCCTGACAAGTCCGCACCCACTTACAATCTCGATCAACACGAATATTCTTCGGGAAATTGGAGAGTAAAGAAAAAAATCAGGGAAAACAGTAATGTCAGACCATACAGCGGCATCAACATCGTACATGAGCTGCCAAGCTGGTCATTAGTCTGCTCCTTTACATATTGCGCTAATTACAAAGTGTTTACAGGTTCCAGATACCTGACCATCTCTCTGTCAGTCTGGCTTCCAGACGCACAATTACAAATTTACAACACCGTCTGCAAATGATACCCGACTATTTAGGGCAAAATATATGGGAGCCCAGAGAGGCCGCGTAAAGCTTATACTGGATCTTAACCAAATCTTAAAACACCTTAAAATTGTGCAGCAGCAGGATTCCAGTCAAACCAATGAGTTTGGTGGTTTTGAAACATCATTTTACATGTACATTGAAAAAAAAAAGGTAATTATGTGCCGACGCGCATGGCTACGGCGACGCACGCCCAGACCAGAAACCGGAGACTTTTTTTTGGCCTAAAGAAATTGATGGTCACCTATTTTCTACTTCACTGAAACTGGAACAGAATGAACAGAATTTAGTTTTTGGAATGCAATTTGTCTGTTTGGGAGAACACTATAGTGTGAGCACAAAAGAAAAACTTGAATGTTGGAAATTAAATAATTTCTGTAAACATTTTCAATTTCAAGCATAATGTACCGGAACAGCTTTGGCATTTGGGCAGGTTTGGTGCATTAAAATTCTGTAGCTAAGGCCAAAAAAATTATTAGTTCTGCTTCCGGTTTCCCTACCTTCCCTATTCTGACAGCCCCTACCCTAATATTTTTATGGGAAAAATGAGAAAAAAAACACCAAAACCATCAATTTCTACCTTTTACCCTTGACTACACACAGACGCCTTCATATGATCGTACACAAAAAAAATTGGCCAAAAAAACCCAAATTATCTACCTACCTACCATATTTTCGAATGCCATGTAATCGGAAGCAGAACTATTTTTTTTTTGGCCTAAATTGACAGAGAACATTGTTGTCGTTATTCAGTGAACATCCACAACACAAAACACATGATACATCAGGAAACATATATATCAGTTTTATGGTTGAAACAAATGGAAACGATGTTTTTGAAATGCAATATCAATAGAACTCTAATAGTCAAATCTGGAGAACAGCATCTCAGGAGATTTCTGTCCTTACCTTTGAGGAGATGTCAAACGATAACGAGGATGCTCCATTGTTTTCTCCATCTTCATCCCCGTCTCCTGTGTTTGTTCTCATTGCTCCATAGAGCACAGAGGTCACCTTCAGTAGCTCCTTGACAGCGTAACCATCCGCCTGATAGAGCTTCTTGGTGTTCAGCTTGATGTGGGCTTTGGTGGCCTGCAGATACACAGACAAAAAAAATGAAAGCAATACCAAAAATGTATTTTTTTAATAGCATTTGCACAAAGGCTCCCATGCATTTTAGAAATGTATTCAACATTGGGTTTTGTCATTCACCGACGTATTTTTATAAACACTGTAGACTCAGTGTTGTCCCGAGTGATTGTGAGAAAAAAATCACTTGGGTGATTATTATTAGTATTCTTGCATGTGTTAGGTTGTGTGTCCAAACACTCACCTTCATTCTCGTTGAAAACACTTATCAAAACTCTCTTGATACATGTAATAGGACTTGATTCCTGCTAAACCGGTCTTTTCAGGGCCGAGTTTGGGGGAAATTAAGAAATTTAACAAAAAAAATGATTTCTAAAGCTTTAATTACATCACACTAGCTCAATACACGTACCTGGAAGAAAAATTGGTACTCAAAAAAGTATGAGACCACAACACTGAGATGGCAGAACCTAAAACATAAATAAATAAATAAATTTTAAAATGTGGACTACTTACCATGAACTGGGCCACGGACTTGATGAATATAACCCTGTCCTGCTCAGTATCCGTGTCTGTTGGTATGTCAGCATTGGGGTCATATCTGAACAGTAAAATAAAATAAATCACAATATTTATTTCTGTACTAAATTTAGATTGAATAATCATTTGTCAGAATTATATGTCAAACAAGACATTGAGAATAACATACATACACGTACTGTAAAGTTTTGCGAAGCATAAACTTGATAAAAAAAAACTTCACACAACAAAATACGAGGATTGACGTTCAAGATGTGGTGAAATACGAAGAATGTAACACAGGTTTACTGAAAACTGTTGGATGTTGATGGAGTCATGAAGCTTTCTAGCGAAAAAGACCAGTGGGGATATGCTACCTAAGAGTAACATCAGTGACAGTAGCAGAGCCAGAGGGGGACGCAGTCTCCCCTCCCCCTCCCCCCTCCTTCCCCCTCCATTTTTCACCTTTTTTTAGGAGCCAGGAGGTATGTGAGTTGAGATAACAAAGGGAGGAACTGGTTGACATGAGGGCCTACCGTTTGACCAGCCATATCAGGACTTCAGCCACCAGAGGAAAGTTGGGTGTTCGGAAGTTCTCCATGGAGATGAGGCGCGGGTAGCCCAACGCCCGCATCATCTCAGTGAAATCTAGCAGAAAAATCATGGCATGTCATAAATGTGTAGATCTGTCCAGGGTAACTGTTTTTCTCATTTGTAGCCTACTCTCTTTACCATTTTTGGGGCCTTTTCTCCCCAAGGGTATGCACAAAAATGCTTCCCCAGTGTCAGTGATTTACCCGTTACATGTAAATGCGTAGTCAAAGTATGCCGATTCGATTGAGTGCTTGTACTGAGGGTAAGCCCTACCGAAGTTCCAGCGCTCCACTCAGTAGAGCTAGTCCGAGTATCTTGGACCCAACTTATCGCCTTTTCGAGCATTCTCGTTGTCTTGCTTTCCGCGACAACGCACCAGACGAAAATTGAACTCATTTGCGGCGCCTGAAAGCAGTGTGGTACCCACATACATCGCGCGCGCAGATTTTTTGATGTCATCACGTGATGCATACATTAATATAATTAGCAAAACAAAATGGAAGACAGCCGTTGGAACTGGCATATTTTTACGGACAAGCCACCGAAATCGTCAAGATTTTTCACGTTTTTTTTGTGGTCTTGTTTCAAGTCGATCATTATGCTTCGTAAATGACTGCTGAATGTATGAGGTATGTGGGTGAACTCTGGGGTGGAATATTAGAGGTGAAAATGAACAATTTTTGGGAGAGGCCATTTTTTTAGGGTCTCTTGCTACCACATGGAAATGCACAGGCCTTCCTCCAGCGTTACATGTGAATGAATATGGAGCATGTCAGCTGGAGTTACTCAAGCTAGGTCCAAGCTAATCCTTATATGCCAAGCAACACAATTCTGTCATTGATCCAAAAACCCAACATTGCCCCCCCCCCCCCCCAAAAAAAAACGCAGTGGCTATTGTTACGGCAGCCGTAACGCATTTCCCATTTTCTATCGTTACGGTAGACTGCAACTTTTATAAAAACATGACAAGAAAATATAAAATAAGAAGGAAAAAGTGAATTTGAACGTTATGAAATTCGGACTTTATTTCCCTTTTAAAAAAAATCCTCCAAAGCCTCAGGTTAGAAAAGGAAAAAAATTCGAGTGCAAAACTGAGATTCGAACCCGCAACCTCGCTGTGCAAAATCCTACCCTCTATCGACTGAGCTGTCGCACTGCTCGCTAAAACGTGTGGAAACAAATAATTATATACCTGTGTGCGTATCAAAAAAAGTATCGTAGAGGGCGCTAAAAAACGACTGCCGTAACGATAGCCACTTCGAAAAAAAAAATCAGATTTCACCCTCAAAACAGCCTCCAAATTACTAGATACGCCACCTGAGGTACAAGTAGACATCGATAATTAAGATGATTGTAGTTGTACTGACATGACTGAAGTTTTCTTACGATCTGGATGAAAAGTGAAATTTCCCGTTCAAAAAAAAATACATGTAATTTATTTTAGCCATAAACATGATTAACTTTTTCTTATACTAGATGGCTTATAACAGTACAGATAAACCTGGAAAAAAGGCTGAAGCTGTTTACAAAAAAAACATAAAAACGGAAATAGAATTTGTAATAGCTCAACTGGTTAAGGTAAGTTTATGTGCAAACGAATGTGAGTGGAAACGCGACGGTGCTTCACTGCTTGGTGTCATAAAATGAAACATTTTAAAGATGTTGTTGTTTTTTGACATCGATCTAAGGTTTTACTTTAACGGTAAAAGATTCGACTGTGTAATTCTTTGAGCATTAACTGTCCAAAAACTAAAAAATAACAACTACTTACTTCTTAGATCCCTGTACGACATTTTGATTTTTGTTTCTACCGCAAGAATGTTGTCATTAACAGCCAACTCTCGCACAATCTCGAGAGATTTCGCTGTTGCACTGATCAGATCTGTTCCCCGCCTCTTCTTCCGTCTAATTCAGATCAACGAAAATAGTCTGTTCGCGGAACACGCGCCTCTCATAATCAATTATCAAGAGACTGGTTGTAGTGTCATTACATGGAGATGAGGGTCAGATAATACGTGCACGGTGCCGATAATGATGTACTCTAAAAACTAATTTGAGCCTGAGACATGTGCTCTTTGCAAACGATCGATATTATTATTATTATTATTATTATTTTCATAGAGGCCATTTTTTTTAGTTGTCCATACGTGATAAACTCCCACACGTCTCAGAAAGAAAGCATCCTCTTAATTAACTCAAGTAGATATCATCAGTGAAGACAGTAGTACGTGCGTGCACGTCTTGGGAAATGTGCTGCCTGGCAACCCCATAGGCCTAGATAACCGGGTCGAGATGGGGACCGGGGGCAAGGGCTAAGTTAAAGATCCAAGGAAGATATGAACAACCGTCTCTCAGAATCGATTTTTTTTTTTTAAGGTCAAGATACCTATCGGACAGTTGTTCGAATTCTGCGCTTTATTTGTGCTTGGTTCTTTTTATATAATTATCTTTAAACATAGGTTTAAACACCGTCTAACCGAAATTCGCTTCTCAAAGTAAACATATTCATTTCATATTAAAAGATGACCATCATTTTAATGGCAAATCTCTTCCAGTAAACTGAAGGGGAAAAAAAATTTCGGTCGCTACGCGTTAAGACTTTTTTAGGAGGAGGGGTGTGTATAAAAAGACCAGACAACACATATGGCTTTCCATGCATCAAGCTCACAAGTGGCAGTCAGTCAGTCAATCAGTCAGTGAAGCGACCAGTAAGGCCGCATCCGTTACTTTAATAGATACGACTGCTTGAAACACTGGTCTATGGAACTGGCTGTAGCCGCTTCCATAGTACCGCAAATTTCCAGCCGTATTCAAGTTAGGGCCCCCCCCCCCCCCCCCCCCAACAAAAAAAAGTCTCCGGTTTCTGGTATGGAGCTTGCCCAAAAAGTGGTGCGGCGACGCGGCTCTTTTCTTTTTTTTTTTACCTGATTTTTTTGCTTCAAATGTAAGTTGATGACTGCAAATGGTCCCCGACTAAACTTAGTGCAAATATATGGGAGTCCAGAGAGGCCACATAAAGCTTATTCTCGACCATAACCCAATCTAAAAACACGTTAAAATTGTGCAGCAGCAGGATTCCAGTCAAACCAGTGAGTTTGGCGGTTTTGAGACATCATCTTTCATTGAAAAAACAACTTTTTCATTTTGCCGACGCGCATGGCTACGGCGACGCGCGCGCATACCAAAAACGGGAGACTTTTTTTTTTGGCCTTATAGGCCATTATCACGGTCATCGTGCATGTTGCCATTCAAATCAACGTAACTCAAGCGAGGTTGGAAGGAAACAATAGTCTGGTTCCTTTTTGCACACAAATATTATCATTCATGTTTATAGGATACAGGGAATGTGACTGAAATTGTGGCAGCATGATGAAAGTCTATTCGGACACGGCCTGATAGTAGTGGCGGCGCCATACTCTACAATATTGGGGGAAGGGCCAGGGAATGTATTTGGGGGGCAGTCAAATTTGCCAAACTATAATCTGATATCCAAATCTACGGTTATTTATACGGCTACATAAATGCATGTGTTTTGTCTACCAAAGTAGTAAGTACTGATGTTTATAATGCTGTCATTGGCATTATGCGGAACCGCTGAGTCACTCTATCTTCAAATTATGAATCTTAAGAGCAAAGAAATAATCATAATTTTAAATTAATCTATTTGTAGATAAAGCCTGTTGGGGAAAACTGGGGGGAAATGGGGGAGGGGGGCAAGGAAACAACTTGGGGGATGACTCCCCCCATGCTCCCCCCCCCCCCGTACATTCAAATACTTGGTCGGTTATCTTGGCCCTACGACCCTGTTAGGATGAGAAGAAACGTACCACAGAAAGTACCGGCTACCGGCACTTATGCAAGTACTTGTAGCCCCCAAACTTGCAGATTTCACCGTTAGGCATCGTCGCTTGTGCATAACGGCCCGTAACAAGGTCTCAGTATGTTTGATAATTCATTGAAGAACTTTAAGCCCATACATTCTAACGGGTTAATTCATATCAATTTATTTTATACGCAAATACCTATCGGAGCTGTCAGTATATTTGCCTTATTTATGGACCATGTTACATCATTTTGTTTACAAATTGGACGGTGTGGTCACGTGATGACAATAATCAGCAAAAGGGTTTTACCTCTTGACATAAACGGTTTAAAGTGTTATGTTTCAAGTGTGCACAAGATGAATGCCCGGAGGCTGCTTGTATGTATGACGTCACAGGATGGCCAATACAGGGGCGCTTGCTCAGTAAACGGCAGCAGCGTATCCATGGAGAAATAATGGCGTATCCAACATTTTTTTGGAGGGGTGCACATCCGTTCTGAAATGTTGCTATTTTTTCACCGTCCTCCGTAAAATCCAATGGGGGAGGGGGGCTTGTACCACCTTTCCAGAATAGGGGGCTCTCTTCAAAACCGGCCACTATGCAAACTACGCATCCTGTGCCCTTTGTTGGGGCGCATTGTAAGGCTTTTGTGGCTTGGCAAATGGTTATGCCTACTGAAAACAAATTATCCGAAATGTTAGGGCCAGTTTAGATTTAATCTTGGGTAAATCGGGCAGGGGGCAAGGTCCCCCTGCCGCTCCCCCCCCCCCCCCCCCCCCCCCCCCCCGCCTGTGTAGATCGATATTTCCTCACTTATGTGCATAGGCCTATTCTGCCTTGTGGTGTCATGGTTCAGCGAATGAGATAAAAACCGATCCATCCTCAATAACTAACGGCGTCGCCGGTGGTAAGGTTTATAATGAGCCTGCGGCCTTTATTGGCCAATCAATTATGTAAATTGGTGTCTGCGATGTTAATTGGAGCACATGGCATATCTATTCCCACCTCCATGCATAGGCGTCATGAACACGCTTGCATCCAACAGAAGCCCAGTGAACATCAACAGAAGAAAAGGTCATTGTATCTCAAGAACATCTTCCAGGAAGCACGCATTGATGGAAGCTTACAGTCGGAACGCACGTAATTGGCAAGGACTAAACGTGCACGAAAATGTTAATACGAAAAATATGCTGGCATATTGTTTTGCAGAGCGCATAAAATACGCTAACAACATCGTCACGCAACACAGTCACCATTAAAATTCATCCTGTCTTTTATAGAGATGTTCAAGTTCATAGAAGCGTCAATATTACTTCGTTGACTCACACGCATTTTCCATAGAGTTTACATTACTCAAACTCTCAAGAGGAACACATCAGTACGAATTGAAGGTCCACGGTACAATCAAAATGCACCTCATACCAAAGTACTATACGACGGATAGTGACGTCGGTAGCTGAGGCCTGGATCAGTGTCCATCAGCGTGATTCGGTGCAGTTGTATGCAAACTGTGATATGTATTTATGCTAAACCAATCCAAACGCGTGATTGGTGCAGATTCACCACAGTCAGTGATATGGGTATTGCATCCCAGGTAGACACTGCGCATCAGTCAGCGATGGATTACCGTGCAGCACAGACGGATGTTACTGGTGCAAACACCACAGACGATCCGGATTGGATCTACGTTAGCCGAGATGTCACGGGGATAGCCATATCGGCTATACTTCTGGTGCTCATCATCCTCTTGTCGATCTTGGGAAATCTTGCCGTAATTCTGGCAATACTCAAGACCCCACGTTTACGGGAGAAAACCTCCAACATTTTCTTGATCAACTTGAGCCTGACGGACCTGATGAATGCTTCTTTAGTGATGCCCAGTGCCTCGGTAGCCCTGATAGCGGATGATTGGTATCTGGGCTCACCCTGGTGCTACGCCCAATGTGCCTTCAACTATTGGTTTATAATCGTCTCCATGCTAACCCTATCCATGATCAGCATCGATGGGTATTACGCTGTTCTGCACCCAATGCATTACATGTCTATAATCACACCAAAGGTGGTTAAACTTGCCGTAGGCTACGCGTGGCTACAGGGCTGCGTGTTTGCTCTGGTACCCGTTTTCTACCGCTGGGTAGTTTACGATTACTGGGAGGTGGTCTGCGCCATAGACTGGGATACCTACAGCCAAGAAGGGGCTCTAACCTACGTCATCCTGGCCTTTTTGTTTTGCTTCTTGGTCCCTGCCATCGTCATGACTTTCTGCTACACTAAGATTTGCCGCGTTGCTCGGCAGAAGGCGGTGGGGCCTGACATCGGCGGCGGGGGCGCGAACGCTAAAAAGAACCGCAAGGCCATAAATGATCGGAGGGTCATTAAGAGCTTGGCGATTGTCGTGGCCATCTTCTTCCTCTGCATGACACCTTTCTGCATCACTAAACTCATCAAGATCTGCACCAACACCAAAGCTTTGCCTCCCTATCTCTACCTGGTATCCGCCTGGTTCGGTTACCTCTCAAGCGCCACCAATCCGTTCATATATGCCATATTTCGGCGCGACTTCCGCCGGGCTTTCAAAAATGTCTTTTGCCGTGGCTGGATCTTCCCGGGCCGTAGCCGCAGCCACTCCTCTCATGAAGGAACAAGAATGAGCATCTCCGAGACTAGACGAAGGAGACCCAGCCAGTCGGTTAACAACATCCTCATGGTGGCAGCGTACAATGAGAAGACGGAAAACCAGCCGTCTATATCGGGCATGGTGTCAAACTGTGAATCTGAAGGCAGAGCCAACGGAGGCAAGCACTTGTAATGCAACCAAAGTTTCCACTCAATTAGGCCAAAAAAAATAAGTCTCCGGTTTCTGGTATGGAGCTTGTCCAAAAAGTGGTGCGGCGACGCGGCTTTTTTTTTTTTTTACCTGATTTTTTTGCCTCAAATGTCGGCTGACGACTGCAAATGGTGCCCGACTAGACTTAGTGCAAATACATGGGAGTCCAGAGAGGCCACATAAAGCTTATTCTCGATCATAACCCCATCTAAAAACACGTTAAACTTGTGCAGCAGCAGGATTCCAGTCAAACCAGTGAATTTGGCGGTTTTGAGACATCATCTTTCATTGAAAAAAAACTTTTTCATTTTGCCGATGCGCATGGCTACGGCGACGCGCGCGCATACCAGAAACCGGAGACTTTTTTTTTTGGCCTTATGATTCGTGTTTAAATTATTGTTGCACTGTAATATACAGTAAAGATCAATGATTTCTTAATCCTCTATCCCATAGATGCCATGGAATCGCGAAACACTCGACTTTGGAATGGATTTTTTTTAAGTAAATAAGTCTTCAAGACTTCAAGCGAATGCGTTCCATATACCAATAATGAGCTTAATACGGATAAAAAAAAAAACACTTGACTCTGATTTGTTTGAAACAAAAAAAGATTCTTCGTGACCCGTTGTTAGACTGTCTCCTATGCCTTTCATGAAATTGGTTCTTTCAGAATCCAGCATTTCTTTATTGATGAGATTGATAATCGTATTTCTCCAGCAACCGGTATTTCGGTATTTACCCCACCAAATGTGAGGCTTTTAATCATAGCTTGCAAGCATATCTTGCATAAGTTCCCGCATAAACTACTTTGTGTTGTAATTATTCTCATGAAACGTTTTCGCAAATCTTGGGGGATATATGACTGAAATCGCACGATGCATGCTACCAAAAAGTATGCATTTGTGTTATCAATAAATACTATAGAACTTCGCCCACCATAATTTTTACAATTTTTGTTTAGATTATTTTGCTAATTCATGGGAGTTGAAATTTCGTACGGTACGTTTAATAGTAAAACTGTGATCTTTAATTGCAGTCGTATGTCATTGTAATAGTCAGTCAAACGTCAATTTAACAGCGCTGTTCCTGTTATTTAAAATGTGCCTATAAAATCCAGTAGTGAGAGCAAACATAATAGGGTTTTCACTCCTTTATGTCAAACCAAAGAAATTGTACGGAAAAGGAACATTTTAACAAATCATATTAAGACTTTTTTTCAGTTTAAAACTGGTATTAAAAATTGTTATTGCATACTGTTCATACCTGATGTGACCTTTTTTTGACAAGCTTTTTTTCCCCTTTAAAAACGATGTAGGACGCTTGCTCTGCGCATGCGCATGCGAACCATAATTATGGTAAAACAGCCGGACCGTCACCACTACCTAAGCATTTTCTTCATGCTCCACTAGCACTAGAGAATAAAAATGTCAAGAATTTCATGGTGTTCAATTATCCAAATGCAATGTGGAATAGATGGTTTTGCTTTTGCCCGGCGTCACCTACGTTGCATAAACACATGATGCTGTTATTAAACCAGATCTTAAGATCTTAAGCTGAAAGTAGCGGTTCAGATGGTGGCACAAAATTAGTAGCGGATCTCGGGGGGGGGGGGGGGGGATTAGGGGAGGGGGTTACACCACCCCTCCCCGTTCAGCCCCTGACTAATGTTAATTGTGATGAAATAAGTTAAATGGGGCCAAAAATAATAAATAGAACGCTATTAAAAGTTCCTAAATTATTGTTGAATTGCATGCCTTAGAATGCAGGAGAAATCACCGTAGATTTCCACATGTTCCGGGGGGGGGGGGGATGTCCCCGAACCCAATAGACTCAACCCCCCTCTTATAATCACCCCCCCCCCCCCCCCCCCCCCCCCCGTTTCCTGAAAGCTAGATCCATCCCTGAAAATTACTTCCATCGCTAGGTTCAGTCATCCTTTCGGTGAAAAAAAACACATTCGAAACCTCACACCCTGCGTTATCAATCAAAGAATTCAATCTGCTTGGCGGGACGAATTCAAACGAGCTGTATCATTAAATCATGCACGGTTCTTGATTTGTTTTAAGTTTCGCTGTCACCAGAATTCACTGTGGACTTAAGGTTCGATTTCACTTTAAATTAAACTCATGAAATGTATAGGCTCCTGAGCGTTCCGTCCACGTACATTCAAGAATATGAGAAAAATAGTTGATGGATTGGATTTCATCACAAAAGGTAAATGGGATGTGATTTATCACTTTGGAGATGTCATTCGAGAGCATACCATCACATCGTGACAGAGCGCAAGTTCTCTGCGACTTCACGCTTACTTTATTTTGTGAACGTCTTGGTCCCAAACACTGACTAGTCTAGCCACGGACTCCTTTGTTTCCTTATCACGGTAGCAGTATTAAATCAGGACTTTTTGGGATCCATATATCATGTCTGTATTGTCAGTACGTTAATAGGTCTTATGCACGTGTTGGCCTTTTTTGTCGAATTCCCTGAATGTATTTCATAAATTTTAAAGTATCGAATGCGATGGCGCCAGACTATTTATGCAGCCTTATTTTACTGTCAATTCTTTTTAAAATCTGGCTTAAAACATTAGGGAATGTTAAATTACAAATTTTAAATGATTCATTGAAGCAGCCTTGAACTAATTACTAATTTATTTGCTTTCATTTCTCTTTGCAAGTTCCATAAATGAAGATTTTACCTCACTTTCAATTCAATATGGTCGACTCGTGCATATAGGCCCATTGTTTATGTATAGGTCCTAAAATTCCTCTTTTCTTTCAAACAGGCAAGGAAAGTCTAGATAACCTGTCAGAGCGCACAAAGTTGTATGCAATTGATTCAGAATGGCCATTACTAGAAGGCTAAATGCATCTGTTCAATATACTGGCTCAAGTTATTTACGCTACAGGGCAATCCTATACGATAGAACTGCCCAGAGCTTTTCGCCCGTCTACAGCAACAAGTATGTGACAGTCAGTCAGTCAGTAATTGAAATAGGTACAAATATGACACTATGTAGACTTAAATTCACTCTGGGACCAGCAAAATCAATTGATTGCACTTTAACAGCTTTTACCTTCCAGTCAGGTGCGAATCATTTTATTGCAATGCACGTTTCTAGAACCAAACACCTGCACAATTTCAGCCCAATCGAAGATCGTTTTGAATAATTTCACTGTTAATAATTCACACTATATGGTTGGTGGGTGAGCATATTCTGTTTCCCTGCATTCTCAATGAAAAACAGTTCTTTTTATTTGCTGTAGGGCCTACTCTCAAAACATCTAAGATTCAGGATTTCGCGAGAACATCTCAACATTTTACGAAATGAGCAAGACATCAGCAAAAAAAAATGTACGAGGGCTTGAGAATTTAAGTGAAATTGATACCGGCAAACTTGTACCTGTTGCAAAACATAATATTTTTACTAAGTAAATTACAGGTCCATATATTATACCCGTAAAATCGCGTTTGTTTTCGAGGTCAGTCGGCACTCCCTATTCATGTGACCACTGTTCTTGACGTAACTTTGCTAAATTCAATAAAATGTCCTATCCAAACTGGGTTTTTTTTGTTAATTTTTTTCTGCGTACATTTTATAATGTCACGTCTTGTCAATATGCAAAACGAACAGAAGTCGAGAAAAGTGGAATACAGAAACATATGGCCTACGTAATTTCGGGTCCTCGCCAACTCACGAATTGAGGTAAAACTCCACGATGTTGGTCCGGAGATCAATCAATCACCATGCCAACACACATTCTCAAATGTGTATCCTTGTGGAGACATTTCTTTGTTCTCGTGTAGTAAAGTGTTCAATTTTGAAAGTGAAGTATCAAAATGCTCTTATTTTAACCAGAATTACTTTCCTCGGCTGAAATTTGGAATTAATATCCCTTTTCTAAAACTCTTCCATTTGCGACAAATCAACCCACCTTGGAAATTCCTAGTTTTTGAGTAAAACCCATATATCTATTTCGTGAAAACCTTGTGGAGACCTATTCATCTATAGAAGATGCCCTGTGGAGACCTTTACAATGTTTTGTTCCCTATTGTGTGTGTGTCTCCACAAGGATACGAATTTGTGGTCACCGTGACCAGCACAATGTGTTAAGTGTTGATCACCTGATGGGAAAAAAGTAATAATTTCCACGCTAAAATGCGGAAGAACTTTGTGTTAAAAGCTTTGTCCGCAAGACACGAACGTGCCTGAGCATGCAGAGGCTGCGAGACGTGCGAGTACTTTTAAAGGTGTGCATTCGGCCAGATTGAAATCGCCAAGATTTAATGACTTGGATTGTTTACTTTTCGAGCCCAAATGTGCACTGTCTCTCGAATGTGCTCCGTAAGATCGCCATTTGAAAGATCACGTAGGTAAACTATAACCACTTCAGCTGTAATATGTAAAAATGTTTGTGTCAAGTCGATTCCGCGGGGGTGGGTCACTTTTTCTTCAAATAAAATCTAAATTTTTATTGAATAATGCTAAACCTGGCGATTTAACGAGACTAGACGGGAAAATGGAACTAAAAAAAAACTAGAAACGTATCCACAACTTCTCCTCTTGTTTCTTTGAATTTGTGTACTGGTGGTTCTTAAGAGAGGAAACCCAATCTCTAAAGTGCAGCCTCGAGGTACTTCCCATCCTCTCGAAAACAAAATCCAAATCTAAGGTGTAAATTACTTCTTTAAAATGCTCCTCTAGGCACATTGCAACATCAGTCCTGAACCTCCGGCTTTAAAACCGATTAAAAAAGAAATGTTCAGGCGTCGTCGCCGCAGGCACGGAAATGAAGCAGTAACTTCACATCCAGACAGCAATAATATCTACTCGAATCATCCTGGGGTGCAAGGTTCCATGTACGCTATAGCAACACTGAGTCATTGAGCAGTCGATTTATCTCCCTTGGTAATTGAACGTTGACGTTAATCTTAAAGTCCTTGCATACTGCCCACATTATGTTTTCTGCCTCTGAACAGAAGGGGAAAAAACACGCAGGCCTACCGGGAATAATTTCCAAGAACAGCCGCGGATTTGCAAGTTTTTGTTGTGTTTTTTTATTATCCAACGTACTTGAGCGTGGATATGAGTCGCGCGGATTCTGTTTCGCTCGCTACAAGTTAAAACAACAAGAATGATTAATTGCATTCCATTTTTGATCGCTGCACCGGCCCGGCCCGGACGCGTGTTGCGCCGTTTTCCTTTTCTTAATCAGCATTCCCACAAACAGGACGTCATTCCAAAGTTGGTCACAAAAATTAATCTAGGTGATTAATTTATCAAACCAACCGCAAAACATTGCCAACTAACGTACTACTCGATGGCAGTAGTAGACATCGAGAGCGCATTTTCTGGTGATCGCTGTTTCAAAACCGGCTCGTATCCAATTCCTTTTTGAACCTGATACCAAACATAGACTCAATATAAACTGCTAGAAACGTTGCTTTAATTTTGACTTTTAAAAATACTGACAACTTCACTGCTCGATAGCTCAGTTAGTAAAGCGTATTTTTTCGAGTGGTCGTAGGTTCAAAACCCGCTCGCATCAAGTTCCTTTTTCAACCTGATAACAAACATAAGCTATTAAGTGCTAGAAATGTTTTTGAGAGTATTTTCAATTTTGACTCTTACAAGACACTGAAAACTTGAAAACATTTGTTCTGGTGGTCGTAGGCTCAAAATCCTCTCGTATAAAGTTCTTGTTCAACCAGATACAAATAGGCTATGAGTTGCTGGCATTTTTTTTCTTGAGAGAATTTAGCGATCATCATGCTGCATCGCTGACTCAATCTCCTTATTTACCAAAGGCCATTTTATTACCATTCCGTTGTCTCTTCGATTCCCTCTAAGTTTTCTCGAATGAATCAATATTGCTGACATTAATATCCATGTTGTGGACATTCCACTCGTGCGCAAAAGCTGAAGGTAAACATTAACTGCGACCCATTTTCATTTTATGAAAAAAAATTAGTGTGGACAACGGACGAACGCAGAACATACACTGATCAAAGATGACGCACGTAGAAGCCCATGTATTGAGAATTTCTAATCTCCAGGAATAGCGCAATTATTTTTTATTTAAAGGGTCACTTGGCCTTGGATGCAAGGGCTTTCTCCCGGGGTAATGAAATGTCAATTTGAACAAGAGGACAACTGTTATAATTAACTTACAACAGGAAGTGACATCACATCAAACACGGACGAATGGACACCACTATACGGTCACCATGACAACCGGGCATCAAGAGGTCCAGAGTCTCATGGTTGGTCTAGTTAGCTCGCGGACCCCTCTCGGGGATAATTACATTGCATTTGTACGGACACATTTTTGATCTCCAAATTTTCTGATGAATTTAATTACTGAACAAAACCACTCTATTTTTGCTCTAATGGATCTGGAGGTTTTTGTTCAATGCAGAAAACTTGTTGCACAGCTTTCAATGAATGAGACCAATTAGACAATGAGTTCGATTTTTTTCCCCCAACGTTGTGCGTTTTACTCAAACAACAAAACCCATATTAGTACGACTGGGAAGCGTCATTCACATCAGATTTTGTTCAAGGTTATCACTGCCGTTATACATGGTGTCATAAGAAGGTAGGCTAACCCCAAAACAGAAGGATAATTTGAACAAACTATGAACTCAATTACTATTATTGTTGCTTTATATGACATGAACCAATTAAAGGCAATAAGCATTCCATTGAAATCCTAGGTGCATTCCTCAGGCCATGCATCACGGAATTCCATTGCTTTGAAAATGGTATGTGAAGACCTTGGTCTAACAAGTATTTCATGATTAAACTTGCAATGGTCTTCACTCTATAAGCTAGGCCGTGACTATGTATCATCAATACAAACAGTGTCTAAGGCCAATACTGGCTGTAATGTATTTTTTTTGCGGGGGGGGGGGCGAAGTTTTCTTTCTTTCATGACTTTGGATGCTACTATCAAATGAACATGACCGGAACAGGAATTGCCTCAGTTTTCAATTATTGAATCAACAATTTCAAAGTGGCATAAGTGACCCAAGGAGTTAGCCTATACATTTGGATAGAGCATACCCAGCTGGTTGAGTTCATGTACTATTTTTTTCAGGAGAGTTGTCTGTCGAGTCGCCGCTGACACTCATCCGTGAAGCGACTACACCCACAGCTGTAGAAATTCTTTTTCTGCTTCCTTGCAGGCTTCCTCGACATCCTCCCCCGATGGCAGATACGGGCGAGAAAACCTTCACGTAAAAAAAAAAAAAAGTAAAACACCCACAAATATTGCAAAACAATTAATGTACAAACCTATGAACTTGCAACCCAAGTAGATTTGTTAAAAACAAAAGGCCAGTTTCAGCCACTGTTTCAGCCAATCAAAATCTGAGGGGAAAGGTATAGGCTTTACACACAAGGAAAGTTTTAGTGAATAGAATTGGACGGAGAGAGAAGGATGTTTTTGCAATACCGTTTAAAAGAGCAATGTTGGAGGTGCAGGAAAATGTCTGTAGGATTTGGGTAGGAACTGGGTGGAACTATCATCAACTTACTTGGTTACTTGGTACTTGGTTGGTTCTTCTCCTAAGGACTCCGCAAGGGAGTTTTAACAGGAGGCAAGAAACACCGGAGCAAACCCCTTCTCTAAGCAATACGTGTTATTTTGGGGTTCTTTTACGTTCGTTGCATTACACAACACAAGGGACCTATGGCTTTACGTCCCATCCTAAGGATGAAGCAACAATGGTTAAGTGCCTTGCTTAAGGGCACAAGTGTCCAGACCTGGGCTCGAACCCACATTCTGCTGCCTCTGAAACACCAGATCATGAGTCCGGTGCGGTGCTCTTAACCGCTAGGCCATGATGACACTCTCAAGCTTACTCTCAGTTGAGAGCAAAGCAGCAATCTGTCGGTGTATAAAGCACCAGAGAAGCATTTGCTCACACAAGACAAATATAACACCAAATATAGTGCCCTCACTCAATACTAACATTCACAAATGTTCCTCACGATAGGGCATTTTCTGACGGGATGCATGAATGACTTCACATACTTATGAACAATTCAGCACCTACCTGAATGTCTTGAGCGAAGGGTGATCCCGGCAACTATTGAGCATCGTGATGAAGTCCCGTGAAAACATCTTCGTGTAGAGGAAGCTCAGAAATCTCAGATGCTGCAAATTGTACATTTCAGTCGTGAAATCCTTCACAGTCTGTTGGGTGCACAGTGATCCTTCCTGAGAGGTGGATGGGATGCCTGATATTCTTAGGTCTTCCAACCGAGGCAGGCTTGCTAACGCCTTGGCGCAGTACTGGATCACTTTGTCTGGGATTGGAGAATGCACAAGGTTGACGTGGGTCAGTGCTTCAGCCAGGCCCATCGACCCCTGGAAGTGGTCAAGCCCTGCTTCGCTGACCTTGTACAGTGAAAGCCTCAATTCCTTCCAGGTCTTTCCGTCTCCCAGAGTGTCACACACGGAATGAATGACTTCGTCGTCTGTATTCTCATTACGCCGCAAATCCAGCTTCTTCAGGCAAGGATACTGTTCGAGGTTCTTTGTGAATTCCACCATCGCTTTGGACGACATCTTTGATTTGTCCAGGATGACATTTTCAAGCTGCGGAAGATGAGGAAGGTTTCTAACAAAGCCTTCCCCCAACTCGTTTCCGGCCAGCTTCAAGTATTTTAGATTTGGTGTGGCCACCAGAACAGCCGCCAGCTGAGATGTCTGATCGGATGTGAGATCATTCAGACTTAGAGTCATCTTTGTCATTTGGACAAATACACCGTCTTGTATCATCTTAAACAGTGCGACCCAGTATTTGGGTTCTGCGTTCACTCCGTTCAAGACCACTTCTTCCAGAGCACACTCCTTCAAGCCAGACAAGACAAAGCCAAGACTGAAATCCTGCAGTTGTTGCTTACTAACTTCCTGCCAAATTGGCACTACTGCTGCGAAGGTCAGGTCGGGACGGTTGCCAAGATAGCTTGGTATTGACTGTTCACTTGTCTGTAATTTCTTTCGGATAGTTACCAAGTCGCCTTGACTTTCTGGTTTCACACTATTTCCCATGAAGCTGCTGATTGCCTCCTCGGTGCCAGGATAGCAGTTAAGGAATTCTCGGAACTGGGTGCTTGACTCTAACTTGATGCAGATCAACTGTAGACTCCTGAGGGATAGAGTGTGTCTTCCATCCTCTAGGCTGCTACGTGAAATAGACTCTTGGCATGACTGGCGTTGACAGCTATAGGCAAAGAGGTAACCAAGGGCTTTAGCCATGTAACTTGATATCCCTACCAAACGCACGCAGCAGCTGTCACCGAAGAGAGAGTTAAACAGATCGTTGAAGCGACCCTTACCCTTGCTCTCGAAGTTCAGTTGGAGGCATGTTTCGATCAGACGTTGTGTTTTCTGGCAGTGCTCGAAGTGCAGCTTCCCTCTCAAGTACTGGGAGATGTTTTGGCCTTGCGTATCCCTGAGTATGTCGATAACGTGCGACAAAATGCGGCGAGCGGCCTTCTTGTTGTCAGCACTGGCAAATATTAGAATGTTGGTGTAGTCTAGAACTCGCTGATCATTGTCGACCTTTTGGAGGTAAGTTGTGAATCTCTCTTCCTCGCCACACTCGAGCAAATGTGCCAGATACCTTCCTGCGCATTTCTCCTGGATGCTTTTCAGAACGAAGGAAATGTCTCGCTTGGTTGAAGGCCTCTGTCCATCCATGCCAAGGTCCTCGTAATTCTGCGGTTGCATACTGGATTCTCCGTCCCTTGAAAGCAGCCCTACCCGTAAGCCTTGCTCAATGACTTGGAATCGGTGGGAACAACGAGAAAAGTCTTCCTCGGAGAAGATCAGTTCCTCTTCAGCGTCACCAAAAAATCCTTCCAGGGCAACCTTCCCCAACTCAAGAACTAATGACTCTTGCTGTAACGACCCCAAAACAATGGGTGTGACAATAACACCGGACGATGACTTCTTTTTGGCCATTTTACTAGCATCATGTATAAACATACACTCAATCAGTCTGTCAAACAACTTGCTGATGGTGTTTAGTTCAGCGAAATCCTTACCATCCGTCCACTTGGTTAGCTGGCAAAATGCGGTCAACATGAGCGGAATGGATGCAAGCTCATTCAGTTGATTCTCTTCCAGGTAGACCAGCAACCTATCTCCAAGTGGTTTGTTCTTACCCCTGAACACTTTGTGGACATAGTCTTCAATGTCCTTGGGCGTGAAACCTGTTATCTCTAAGTGGCGGTAGGATTCATAGTCGGCCTCGAAATCGGCAACTCGGGCCGGTCGAGTGGTGACAACAACCCGACATTCAGTCAACCACTCCCCTCTCAGTATCCTTACGATGTTACCGCAATCCTCTTGATCAAGACCCTTCCCCTTGAACTCATCGTAGCCATCAAAGAGGACGACCACCTCATCAGGGTGGTCCTCACAGAACTGCTCGATTACAGGTGCAGTGATTCGATTTTCGTTCGGAAGCATGTGCTCAAGCACCGCCTGTCCAAGATTGCTGCGATGGTCGAGTTTGCGCATGGGCAGAACGAGCACGACCGGGACGCCGTGTAGCAACGCCTCACTCTTGTCTGTGCTCCAATCGTAGGCGTACTTAGTCAACAAGGTTGTTTTCCCGCTGCCGGTCCGGCCTCGCATGAGTATGCGCGTACCACAGTAGTCGCCCTCTTCTGTCAAGTCTGTGAAAATTGCGTTGTGTGACTTCAGGGGAATTTTCATGGGGAAATACGCATTCATGATGCTAATGAGAAGTTGAACATTGGTGAACACTTGGTCAACATTGATACATCCGGTAGTCATCCACGGAACCAAAGGGAGTTTGCTCATCTTCAAACGGACGAACTTCTTCAATTTGCCGCAGAAAGTCACCTTGTCGAAAGATGAATTACTACCAAGGCTTACATCTCTAAGTGGTTCATCAGAATTTTGTACTACAAAAGAAATACAGGGGGAAAAATCCGTTATTGATACTGAAAGTGAAACTATAATGGCGTTGTCATGGAGCATGTCGTTAAAATCTTAATCTATGTACGTATACGTATAGTCGAGTCCCAGTTCTGTCTTTTCATAATCCAGTCAAAAGAATATGGCTGGACAATGACAGAGGCATGTTAAATTTTTACAGTTGATTTCAATAGCTAAGAAATTATCTTGAGATCATGGGAGGACTTGTGATGGACTTGCACAAGTGTGGACAGGTGATGGTCTCGACTACAACACTAATCTTAACCTCGTGAATGCGCACCACTGTTATGCAAACAAGTGAATTCATATTGCGATCATTTTTTTCATTCGGATAAATTTCATTAGAGTGTGCTAATTCACAAATGCACACAAAATGAGTGGTGACTGGCATTGCTTTTGGAATGGAAGGATCATTATTTTTCCAAATGGGCATCAGGGAGATCTTTTTTGGAGGGAAAATGTGTAGACATTGTGTCACATAGATGTATTAAGTACATCTCGTTTGGTTTCAAGTACCTGTAATGTCTGTCACAGAAGCCACAAGATCCCCCCGCTCTGCCTTCTGCAATGCCCCTCGTAGTTGTTCGACTAGCATAGACGGGGCTGCACTTGCGTTTTTCTTCCATCTCAGCAGCATATGGTACGCCCTCTCGTGAGCATGGGAGGGGTAGTCCAGGAGTAGATTTTCCAGCTTTGCTTCGCTGTATCCGAGATGTCGACCAATAAGCTTCCAGCTGATACCGAGCTCGCCAGCCAGCTGCCATAAGGCGTAGCCACGTTCCCCATCGCCTGATGCCTGCTGCCCGCCATGTTCAGCCATTTATTCTGTGGGCATGAAAAAAGGCAGACTTGATTTATCATGGAAATTATACCGTGTCATAACAAGGGGGCGGGGTACATCCCCCATTTTATATCTTGATTTGACCAAAAATATGTATCATCGCACCTTCAGTGTCCCCCCCCCCCCCCCCCCCCGTTTAAAAATGTGTGCACCCAAGGTGCCCCCTAGAAGTTTAACCCTATTAATAAGAAACACCACTGGAATTACAAAGGACGATTAAGTAAGTTATCTATAGTTCTAAGCAAAAAAGGGGCTGGGATATTGCGATCGTGTATTCCTACTCAGTGTGTGTCCGTCCGTATGTTACATTTTGGTTACGTTAACTGTTTAGTGTTGTCATATGAAAAGACAGACTCAATCTCAACCAAACTTGGTGACAATAATCTTTGGGTGGGTGACTTCAGATGTCTTGAGACACTTGAGGTCAAAGGTCATCTAGGGGTCAAATGAGGGCACTGTTGATTTTGGTTTGGAAAACTGAAAAGTGCTGTCAAAAAATTCGGGCATACTCTCACCAAACTTGGGTGGAGGACTCGATGACTTGAGACATGAGGTCGAAGGTCCTTTAGGGGTCAAATGAGGTCATTGTTGATGTTGGTAACCGGTAAGGTACACTGAAAGTGTGCTTACTATAACTTATACCTAACTGTATAAAAACTGCTACCATGCCAAGGGGATCGCGCAAGGTTAACTTGCCGTGTTTTTTTGTTTATGGGGAGGGATAATCAAGATAAACCCTTGGAGTCGTTTAGCTAGTGAAAAACTCCAAAAACTACACACATCCTGATTAAACCCGGAGGTTATAGGGATCGACTCCGATGTCTATGTTTACTTATTTCTGTAAATTACATTTTATGATGATTGTTTTCATCTACTATTTTCAAACCATATTTTACAAGCCCTACGCTTCCAGAGTTAAAATTTTAAAGGTGACATTCCGCAGAAATCTCCATAATTTACTGTATCATGTCGATTACTCTGCATACTTCAAAGGCCTTCGCCAAAACCATTGTAATTTATATTTACAGAGAAAACCATGCTGAAAAAAATGTCGATTCTTTGATCTGACAGGTCTCACAGTCACAGAGTAGTTTAATAATGTTAACCTACCGGAACTGTTCACTCTGGCGGCGCGCCACCCGCGGGGTGGAAAAGGGGATTCCCCATTTTATTATGACTCCGTAATTGTTGCTACGCACGCTGCAGCTGTACTCTTCGTTTCTAAAACAAATTAAGTACAGTCCAGGTCACCCCCCCCCCCCCCCCAGCACATCAATGGTTCGGTTTGCATATTGTAAACAAAACATTATAGCCTCAAACATAATACTTATGGAGGCCCGTGCTATATTCATTTGTCCTTCCGATACTGTGTGAACAGTCATATAAAAGCCCATGACAGAACTGAAATTTTGAAAGAGACCGACTTTCACTTTGACACTTAGTCCAACAACACTTCATTTTATTACAATTTCAGAGCCCGACCAAAATGAAAACACCATGAACGACTTCCGTGGACTCGACAAAAAGTCACGTGCATCGGTAACGATAACGAATGTTCTCACGCCTGAGTAATAAGCTATTGCCAAACTCTTGAAATGATGTATTGTAAAAGATGGGACGACGACGACGGTAACTTTCCAATTCCGTAAAAAAGGCTACTAATTTGGTAATGTTTCTTTTTCTGATCTTGCATGCATGCAACTAACTGACAATAGTTCAACAACGACCGGGACACAGAATTCGATGTGAGTCCTTAACAAGTAATACTTACCTATAGGCCTATCTCCGCTCACAATAGAATCGCCTTTTCTTTGTAACTCAAGAAAAAACATCAACATAACAGAAAGAGACATTACAGTGTAATCATATGAAGCACATTTTGACAACATTGTCTGGTGGGACCAGTATATAGTACGACTACGGCCTATGTAATGGGCACATACAATGCCAGACCCACAGTTGCTACAACGCGGTAATCGTGTGGGGAAAGCAAAATACGGAACTCTAGAAGAGCCATATCCTACTTACTGAGTTCGCTAGATCGACCCTGCCACCCTACCAATGGTTGCTGCAATGTTGACATGACCTCCAATTTCATCATCTCACTTTGAGAATGTCGTCATCCATTGATGGATTGTCTGAAGTTGTCTACCTGCAGGATGTCATCATCGTCAGGGTGTTCTACTTAATTATGTGTCTAATGTGGAGTTAAACGACTCGCCATGTACGCGGGAGTATACAAACGGCCAAAAACTTCCCGTGGGCCGTGTCCATGCAGCCTAGGGCGAATGATCGCGCCGTGAATATGGGGCGAGTTGGTTTGAACTCACGTGGCGATTCACAAAGATTTCGGCACAAAACATAGTCAATAAACACTCACAGCCCAAGAAAGTGTAAATGATCACGGAAATTGCTTTGATATTTGCTACCCTTTATCAAATAATATTGTTAATTCTAACTTGAAACTCCTAAGCGTAAGTGTAGAAAATGCACTGTAAAGCCCGCCGCTCACGAGAGCTGCGGGCTGAGCAAAAAGTCATTCGAGGCCGTTTGCTCAGTACGTAGCTCACAACATCCTCGACTTTGACATCCTGAGACAAAACATGTAATTTTTTTAATTCGGATGGCACCTCAAGAGCTCCGTAGATAAGCGGAAGGACGCGTCATTGCTTAAAAAAAAATACTAATAACGAAAGGACACAGAATCAGTGCCAACGGATAACAGATGTAAAGGTTAACGCTGGAAGCAAAATAATAGACAGCTCAAAGTTCAACACTAAGCTCAACATAATTCCAAGATCCATTGTGTATTTATTTACGTAGCGTTATGACCGGATAACACACAAGGTTGGGATTTCCCAATGTACATGTATACCCCTCTAGTAGGCCCCTACGTTGTACTGGGAAAAACCGAGACACTGACAAATATTTTTCGGGTAGGTTTTTCCCCTACAATTTGTTGGCTGCTAAGGAAAGGATCCGTTGGTTCCAATTACGAGCTTAAAAACAGCTTTTGTTTTCTTTGAAAATTACAGATTAAAAGATTTTTTTCTATTTTTAGTCAGACTGCACGATATGTTGTCTTCTTTTGTACACACATTTTGAGCACTGAGAATTAAGCATTTTAAATGTCTTTCACGGTTTAATGAGTTCGTTTCCAGAGAGAAATCGAAATGGTCAAAGGCTGGTGGTTTGTTTTTGTTTTCAGTCATGATAATTTCGTGGACCCATGAAATTCAGGCAAATTCTGAGGAACATCTTTGTTTATTTAGGGCCAGATCGAGCCCACTTTAGCCGCCCCTCAAAAATTAATTGTTGTTCAGGACGTTAAAAAGCACTATAATTAGCCACTATAATGAACTTCGTTTCTCATGTGCCGTAGAAAAACACACATGGGCCCCGCAACACGCCTCGGTAGTTCATGCAATCACTCAATCAGTGCACACTGCACAGTGCACACACACAATAATTTACGGTGTGTGATTGCGAATTCCTAACACGGGATTTTCCGGGACAGATCGCACGTCATAACGTTTGGCACAGACACGGGAACCCATGGAAGGTCTCAATATTCTCAACCGACGATAGACGTCAGGCTTTGGACAAGATTACCACAGTTCTACACCTAATCTAGTAACAAATAAATAGTATCAGACACCTAGTGGACCATGAGTTTCCAGTTCAGTCATATTAAACTTCCCGCTCCAGCGAAGTTAAACTTGATGCTTCACATTACAGGTCGCCGACCGGACGGATACCACAATCTTCAAACGCTCTTTCATTTCCTTGACTTCTGTGACGAGTTAACGTTCTCATCGAGAACCGACAGCGAGATAGTGTTGCACCCATCATTGGAAGGTGTGGAGGTTTCGCAAAATCTCATACGGTCCGGGCTGCTAAGCTTCTGCGCTCAAATTGACATATCATAATGACCAATTGACCTTTTTTTTTGTAAAAAAACAAAAACATTGCACTACGGAGCCTGAAAGTAAAAGGTCACCCGGCTAGCGTCCAAACCCTCGCGCGGCCTGCTTTTACACGAGGTTGCCCTTTTCTTGGAACGATTTTTGACAATGATTTTTAACTGTAATCAGCCCAAGAACATTAGGTGTAAGATCATCTTTGGATGAAAAAGGCTTTTAATTTGTAAGTTTTAAACAAAGCCAAGCATTTCAGAGCGGATACAGGGGGCCGTGGGGCGCACGCCCCCTTTCCTTAAAAAAAAACGAGATATAAGGCCTAGAGAGGGAGAGATACTCAAAAGGAGAAGAAATAAACAGGGAGAGACAAATAAATAGGGCAGGTCATGTCAGACCGTAGCCAACTAGAATTAGTCGCACGTAAGATAACATAAGACTGTCATACTTTTAGTAAAAACAAAAAGCGACGCGACCAAGAACTGCGACCAGACGGGGGGAGGGCGCGCGCGACGAAACAAAAAGGCAGCAACGAGCGAGAGGAAGACCTATGCTGTGAAAAGTGCTGTAGATTACAGGAAAATGCACCCAGACCCCTCACCCACACACATTTTTCGTCCCCGAATACATGTTGTTTGATTTTATGGCTCAGGAGTGATTCAATGAATCCAAGCTGATGTTTAAATGAAGATATTTTTTGTTAAAGTGGTCAGATAAAATAAAATTGCCTCAGATCGCACCACCGAGCATCTATAGAATCCATAATTTCCGGTGGACCTTACACGGGCCCGCACCCAACGCCGATTTTTAATCGCATTATGCCCCCCTTCCTCCCGTTGGCCGTATCGTAGGCGCCATATAGTTGGGCTGTTCAGCGATACGATTGTGCACTTTGTGACTAAAGCATGAAACTTCGTATGTTGGTTCTTCATGCCATGAGGAAAATTTTCAGATGCGGAGACATTTCTTATTTGACCTCTGGTGACCTTTGAGAGGTCAATGACCTTTACATACACTATTTATAATAATTGTTCTTGAAAACACCACTTTCCTATGACCCAAGTCTATGTCATAGGTCTTCAGGCCATGAAAATAAAGATCAGATGTGAAAGCAAACAAATATTTGACCTTTAGTGACCTTCCAGAGGTCAATGACCTTTGTATACATATTTTGTCGTTATTATGATATTTACTCTTTAAACCCCAACTTTTTCAAGACCAAGTCTAAATGTTAGGTGTTTATGCGATGATTTTTTGTTTCATATGTAGGACATTTCATATCTGACCTCCGGTGACCTTCAAGAGGTCAATACACTTTGTATGCCCTATTTATAGATATTTATAAGATTTATTATTCAAAACCCAACTATTTCAGGACCCAAGTCCAAAAGTTGGCTCTTTGTGACATGAAAAGAAATTTCAGATACGGGGACATAATAATCTGACCTTTGGTACCCTTTAATAGGTCAATGAACTTTATACCTTATTTTTCGCTATTTTTTATATTTATTCGTCAAAAGCCTTTCTTTTCGTGACCCAAGCCTCAATATTGCAAAAGAAAGGTATTGCACCTATTATTATACTGTCATGTAATAAATTCAAATCGCACAAAAAAAAATTGGGGGTGACATCTGACCTCCATTTTCCTTTTTCAATTGGCAGACGCAACATGTTGCGACTGGGATAGAAGACTGTTGGACTTTCTTTACAATATGTAATATGTACAAATGTCTAACAATAGTCACTCTTGTGTACTTATTACACTCTGTGGTATCTAGATGGACTTGGGTCACCACATTTTTAATCTTTTTACCAAGCCCACTGGTCACTGTTAGAGTGTGATTCTTGTGATACCCTTTAAAAAAGGAAATGGAGATCAGAGGTCATACAAAAATGCCCTTGGCTTATTTTGAACTATTTAGACTTGGGTCATGAAAAAGTAGCATTTGGAATATTAAATATGATAAATAGCGGCAAATAGGGTATGCAAAGTTTATCGACCTCATAAAGGTCACCAGGGGTCAAATATGAATGTTAATTTACACATCCAAAAATTCTGTTCATATCACGAAGAGCAAACTTTTAGACTTGGGGCATAAAAAGTGGGGTTTGCATAGTAAATGTTATAGATATCTTTAAATAGGGTATACAAAGTTCATTGACCCCTTGAAGGTCACCAGAGGTCAGATATGAAATGTCCTTAATATGAAAGTGCTTTTCATAGCATGAACACGTAACTTTTAGAGTTGGGTCTTGAAAAAGTTGGGGTTTAAAGTATCAATCTTATAAATAACTATAAATACTGTATATATATAGGTCATTGACCTCTGAAAGGTCACCGGAGGTCAAGTATGATTTTTTTTCACATCTTATCATTATTTCCATTGCCTGAAGACCCATGACATAGACTGGGGTCTTAGGAAAGTGGTGTTTTGAATTATTGTAAATAGTGTATGTAAAGTTCATTGACCTCTCAAAGGTCACCAGAGGTCAAATATGAAATGTCTCCACATCTGAAAATTGTTTTCATGGCATGAAGAACCAACATGCGAAGTTTCATGCTTTAGTCACAAAGTGCACAATTGTATCATATATTTGACCTTAACAGCCCCACTTAAAGCGTTACAACATGCCTTCACCGCTTGCTGCATTTAACATTTGGAAAATATTGGATCCGCCCCTGATTTTCTTTTAAAGTTCGCAATTGCAACCAACTGATGCGTAACTAAGCCGTGAGCGCTCAACGAAAATAGACACCGAAAAATGTGTTTGAGTGTCTCGGTTTTCCTAGCCATATGGTTGCTACGGCAAAGCGTCAGTCATTGTCAAGGAAAGCTAATCCGATTACGTATATTAAGTCGCTGTAACAGAGCATTGAAATTCGTAAATCCCCCAAAACGTGGCCTTTTGAACGTTGTGTTTCTCAGAAAATATGCTCGGTATGATTGAAATGTCACATTCTAACTGAAGACGAAATTCTAAACTTCATGTCAGTGAAAAAAATTGCCGTCATCGATGCCGAAACG